CCCAGTCTGGAGTGAGTTTTCATGGATGATTTCCAGCAAGGGAACATGGTGATGTTTGCCTTGCACATGACAGGACTAGAGTTCCTTGGCCACCAGCTTTCCCACCGCCACCTCCACCTGTGCAGTACAGGTTGTATGCCATCGCCATCCCATGATACTAGGTGAATGTGCGTATGTTATCTTAACTCTGTGTGCTTTTTCATTCATTTTGGGGGTTGCCAATGAGCCCTTAAGGTCTCTGTTTCAGAAATGCTTGGTCAGCTGTGTCTTCCACTCTAGTTTGGGTTTTTTTTTCTGTTCCCTTTTGGGGATGCCAGCTCTCCTGTGTCAAGTCTCATGCTGAGTCTTGTTTAGATCTTCATGTCCATTGTCTCAGAATTCCTTCCTTCACCCCTGTGTTTGGGGGCATTTACACAACTTTCCCTCCTCTTCATTGATCACCTTTTCCGCTCCATCCGTTCTGCATTTGCTTCCTTTGACGCTGCCTTTTAAAACCTGTGAATTTGTTGCATGAACTTCTTTTCTTAGTTTTTCCTGCTTCCTCTCTTTCTCTCTGAAATCTCATCTTTCTTCCAAAGAACCACGTGCTCTGTCATTTCCTTCCAGGTGTATGGAGGTTGCTGTCTTAGATATGCTTCTGTTTCCTGGGATAAATCCTGAACTCATGAGTTTGATCCATGTTTTGTGTTCCGTGTTTGTTCCCTTCTTGTGTTTGTTTCTTGTAGGAGGTTGCAGGTTGGCCTCTGAGCTCCTATTTGGGGGTGGGAGAGAGCATATTCTCCCATCCCCACCTTTGGGTACCTCATGGGTCCCACTTGAGACTGGAGCAGGAGGGAGTCTTTCTGTTGTCATTTTGGTCTTGGATCTGAATTTCACAGGAGGGAGCGGATGGGCCAACTCCTGCAGCTAAGGGATCCCAGTTCTCTGTGAATCATTCTCTCTTGGTGGGACCCTTCATCTGAGGGGGCTCCGCACACTAGGGAATCCCCAGGGTTGGGAGTTGCTGCCCTGGGAGTTCAGGAAATGTTCGGTTGGGGGGCCCCCTTCTTTTAGAAAGGGTGGAGTGTGGCCTCCACTCACCTCTGCAGCCTCAGAGCTGCTTGCCTGGGTGGGGAGCATGGGGCCCTGCCTTTGTGCTTCCTGCTCCCCATTTCGGGGGCACACACAACATTCTAAACAGGGCAGCTGATAAAAGGGGTGAAATAGAAACAAGTGAATTTGGATTTGGGGCACAACCTGGCATTCTCTCTGTAACTTTCCTGTAAGTATGAAATAATAAGCTGCTGCCAGCCACCCCCTCCCCCTCCGCTAGTGGTGAGAGCCCACGGCCCCACTCAAGAGGGAGGGCTGCCCCCAAATTGAAACCCATATTTCTCTTACCACCACCTTCCCCCTGCCCCTCCATCACTCCTGTGAGACTCTAAGCACCACAGGGCCAGGCCCTGGCCCAGGCAGGGCAGTCAAATGGCCACCATTTGGTTTCATGGGGGTTTTAATTTTAGGTAAAAGCTGGAGGAAGAGCAAATGGGCTTGGGGTCACATCGGCCACCTGATAAAGCTCAAGAAGAAAGTAATTTCTTGTGCGCTGGCCGAATAAGCAGTAAAGGCACTGTTGGTTTTTTAATTAACATTGTTTAATTGCTCTTAAAGGCATTGACAATTTTTCTCAGATGTGATTATGGTCTATGGTGGTTATTTTTACTATTGTTGTTACCATTTTAGGCTTTATGTTTTGGGATCGCACTGTCCAATATAGCAGCCACTAGCCACATAGGGCAATCTAAATTTGCATTAATTAAAATCACAGAGTCGGATGTTCTTTATCAGCTCTGTGTGGCTACCAAACAGGACAGATGTTATGATCGTGGCAGACAGTCCTGTTGGAGGTAGGTTAACTTATTTGTGAGTGCACTGAAGAAGTGGAAAACAAATATGGAGGCTATTTGAGGGGTCAGCGCTGTGCAGGGATGCTGAGGTCACAGAGAGGGCCCTGGGCTGGAAGACCTGCAGGGTGACTTTCCTGAAGGGGGATGAAGAACCAGCAGGTGTGGGGACTAACAGGCCAGAGCTGAGCAGGGGCAGAAGTCTGCTCATGTGTTGGGGGTGGTCAGGGAGGAGCCCAGTCTCTGTCCTGAGGGCAGTGGGGAGCCATGGCAAGAATTAGAAGGAGAGAGGAAAGCCAGGTTTTGCTCCTGAAAGCTCTGTTGGACTGCCTGGGGTGAAGTGTGGTCAAGGAGCCTGAGAGGGCACTGCAATAGGGATGCAGCTGGTGCCAGCTAGTGGGAAAGACACAAGAGGGAGGGAGGGAGATGGGGCCCTGCTCCCTGGCGAGGGGGCACTTGCAGAACTGGGCCGCAGAATGAAGCCCCCAGGCCGGGCTGAGAACCACCTGCTTGTACCTATAGGGGTTTGGGGCAGGGACAGTGGATGAAGCACCGTGACCGTCTGGGTTTTGCCTGTCCCACACGGTAACCCTGCTTGCTTGTGGTACTGAATTCTGATGGTACCAAGTTCTGATGGTCAGGCTTCTTCATACAAAGGAACCAGCTTCTGGAATCTTTCCACTCACCAGGGCCAGTAGATCTCCATAAAGGGCCAGGCAGTGCACATGTGGAGGCTGGGCAGCCTCTACTGCAACTAATATAAGCGATTACATTAGTTGTAGCATAAGTTCCTGTAGACAGTAGGGGTCAAATGGGTGTGTCTATGTGCTAATAGAACTTTATTTATGAAAGCAGTTAGGGGCCAGACTTGGTGTAAGGGCCCTTGTTTGCTGACTCTGCCCCAGAGGAATCCTGCACAGGACATGGGCCATTTGGTCCCAGCCAGTGTTCACTGAGTGTCTTTCAGAGGCCCCTCCCCCAGTTCATCAGGCAAAGACCAGCCCTCAGTCACATGGTGGAGTTACCTCTCCATCAGGACGCTAACTGTGCTACCCACTCTACAGCAGTCTTTGCCATCCCAAAGCAACCTGGGCTAGTGGGCAGCTTCATCAGCCCCAGCCACCTCGAACTGGGACTGAAGCTCAGGGGATGGGCAGCACCCTTGGGCCCCACATGCACTCTGTTCCATCTCTCTCCCTCTACCTGAGGCAACTGGGCTGAATCTGAATGGATAGATGATTTTTCCCGGGTGGCCCCCCTACCCCCAGTATGTCACATCCAGAATATTTTTTTTTTTAGAAAGAAATAATTTTTCAAAAATTATACTCTTGACAGCAATGTCTGATTCTGTTGGTATGTTTTAATTAGAATATGAACAAGGGATGTGTTATTTAAATGCATAAATTAATCAGTGGGGGTGTTAATAACTATTAATAGAAGCAATGAGGGAGGGAGAGGCTGTACCTATTTTTGTCATTTATAGAAGAGGATATGCGGGCTGGGGGAAGGGCATTTTCCAGAAAGGCCCTTTGCTAGGCACTCATGAGGCCCATGTGATGGGGGTGTCCCTGGGCCCCAGGAGTACCCTTAATTGCTGCCAGGCCTTAGAGAGTGAGGGCTGCTCCAGAAGGGGTGAGGACAACAGGCAAGTGCGCATAGAGGGAAACCGAAGCTCCATGGTTGGTAGCACTTTTTACCCAAGGTCACCCCTGGCTCCCTAGCTGCTCTCCTTCCCAGAGCCCAAGAGGGGATTCAGGACCTTTTGGTACAAATACCCCAAATCTGGCAGGCCACAGAATGGATCCCTAGAGACCACAGGACCCCCTCCCCTCTGCCAGGTCCCTTACTGTAATCACATTGGAAATTTTTTATTAGAAAACAAAATCTGCATGAGATATATGAATATTCATCAGGATGGGAGCTTAATATACATAATCATGCAAATTAGACAGCAATTAAACACCAGTTCTCTGGGGGAAATGATTAACACAATGCCACCAAAATAGGAGGATACAATTTGAAGGAAATTTTAGTACAGGCGAGCAGGGGAGGGCAGGAGACAAGGTATAAGATTTGGGATGGTGTGCATGGGAACTCCAGCATGTTGGGTGGGAGGTAGGGCCCCCTCCTCCCTTGTCCCCTCCTCTCCAGTTCTGCCAAGTGGGCCTATTCAGAACCCCGTTTACAGAGGAGGAAAACTGAAGCACATATATGGAGGGGTCCTGGTGCTACTTCCCCTCTGCTTTGTCTAGGCTTTGTGCTCTGTGGTCCCTGATGCATGGGGTGGGAGCTCTGGCCCAGGAAGGATGTAGGCCCAGGCTTCCTGCCCCATGGGGAAGATTCTGAGTCCTGGGTGGGTGCCTAGTGCCTGGGAGAGTGTCTGAAGAGATAAGGCCCCACCCTGCCCTGCCCCTTGAGACCAGGGCCCTTTCCTCACACTGGTTAATCCAGGCTGCACTTTGAGCCTCTGACCTCCCAACCTGGCAGGCCAGTGGCAGGAACCTTGGTTTGTCCCTAATGTGGATTCGGTTCCACCCAGGAGGGACTGCCAGCCTGTGCCTGGTGGGTAGTCAGTGGAAGCTGCTGCTGTTGTTATTTTAGCAAAGGAATGGCCCATTTCCTGAACTGGCAGGGATGGGCAAGGAGAGATTCACATGTTCCCAAGATCTAAGCTGATCATTCATGACCCACTTGCTTATATCCCTCATGAGCCTTTCTTGCAGGGTCAAGAGAGACTGAACCTGACACAGGTGCCCCAGCCCTTGTTGTCAGCGAGGGGCCTGGGGCTGGGGGAAGGAGGCTCAGTGTGAGTGAGGGCTCTGCCCAGGGTAGGCATGATGGATAAGGTTTTGGCAAATGGGTAGGAGTTTGCCAGCAGTGATAGCTAGTGGAATTTTTTAATTGAGCTGCAGACCTGGAAGTATGCTAAGTGCCAAGGTGGCTGGTGCACTTGCCACTGACAATGATGTCCATATGGGTGGTGCTAGAGTTGGGTGAGTCCGAATAGGTATAGAAGTCATGCTGAATCGAGTTAGGACTCCCCTATGAGATGGTAAGGAGCTGACTTTAGAGCTGGGCAGAGGTAAGGGTGATCCTCTCTCTCTTCGTGTCCTGCAGGTCTGGAGGACCGGCCCAGCTCAGGTTCCTGGGCCACTGGCGACCAGAACAATTCCTTTGACCCCAGCCGGGTAAGGAGCTGCTGCCGGGCCTGAGATCCTGGGTTTCCCTTTTCCAGGGGAGGGGAGCACATGAGGAAACTAAGGCTCAGAGAGGGAACTTGGATGCCTGCTTGGTCTGCAGGGACTTTGGGCTTAGAGATGTGGGTTCAAGTCATGACTCGGGTACTTAGGTTTCTCCAGCTATAAAACAGGGTGCCCCAGCACCCCTCATCCCCACCCATCTCTCAGCAGACGTACAGCGAAGGTGCCCACTTCAGTGAGTCCCATGGCAGCCTCTCTTCGTCCACATTCCTGGGACCAGGGCTTGGAGGTGAGTGTCTTTGGAGCATGGCCCCTTCCCCCACACTGACATGGGGACTCCTGGGCGTGGCCAGCACACTCAGCAGCAACACTCCTGGACATTCACTTGGCGCAGAGGGTGAAGGTGGATATGGCCTGCACCCCTCAAGTCTCTGGGGGCTGACCAAGTCCCCACCAGGAGGTGGACTTTGGTGTTCTGGTGACTCAGGCCATCGGAGCCTACCTTCCCTGACCGTGAGAATCAGTACTTGGCAGGCCTGGGCTTGAGTCTCGCCCACTGGGGCAGGTTGAGGTTGTCCCCTTTCTAGCATTGGTTTCCCCACCCTTGTTACCGGAATGCTCACAGAACCTTTCCTGTAGCAGGTAATGAGGTCTTACCCAGAGCGCCAGGTCCCGCGGGCACCCCTACCCCATCTTGCAGATGGCCAAACAGAGGCCAAGCAGGAAGAGACCTGTCCAGGGGTCTGTGGCTGGTCAGGGACTCGACTGTTGTCCCATGTGCCGTCCATCCCTCCAGGGGACCGTGGCAGTATCCCTGCTGAGCCCTGGTACCCCTTTCCAGTTCTGAGGGAGCCTTAGGGGTGAGTGCAAAGCTCACATCTCTGAGCAGGAGTGGGGTCCTGGATGCTATTGCCCTGGATCAGCTCCCGCCTCAGAGCTTGGGCTGTAAGTGGGGTTTTAGTTTTAGTGCACTGCCTGAATCCTGAGGTGGTATCTTTCATGTGAAAGCCAGGAGGAATCTGCTTATCTCAACACTGTCGCCAGTGGTTTGTAGGCTAAGGTGGCTGCAGGGGGAGTGGGCGTGTGGACTGGGACCCTTGGCATGACTAACCAGTTGGTGGAGAAACTAAGCCCAGAGGCCTTCGTGCTGAACCCTGAGGGGACAGCACCTGCCAGACCCCACACGTCATTTGTCACTTGCCGGGCAGAGGACTGGCTTGCACAGTAGGGCTGGATGAGCATGTGTGATGGGAGAGGAATTGTGGCAGGGGGCAGCATCCATGTACCCACTTCATGCAGCAAGAGTCTGTCCATTTCCCAGACCAGGAAGTAAGGCTTGGCCCACGTGGCCTGTCATGGCCTCTGCACCTGCAGCTGTTCCCCTCTACTGTTCTCCCGCCTCTTCCTAGTACAGGCAGTTCCCACGCCTAGCCTGGTCAACAGGGTCCAGAGCTAGCTGTGTCTCAGGTCCACCATATGCCCTGTGGCCAAGAAGCTCAATGAGCACTGTGTAGAACCCAAACCAGGCACGGTGGGGAGGGGGGTGCAGCCTTGGTATCCCTGGGCCTATTTCTCAGCCCTGGACTAAGCGGGATGGGGCTGGTAGGGCTGGTGTGGCTCATTGGCCTAATGGCAACGTGGAAGGCAGTGAGGGCCCCGCTCCCCAAGGAGTGGGACCAGTCTGTTCCCATGTGCCCTCCAGCGTAGTCTGCCTCCTGATGAGACTGGTCATTTTATTCTCTGCTATTTGTCGTCCTCCCACCCTCTTACAGATCCAGAGCATGGATTAGGTGCCTGCTGTATACCCATGGGGCTCACAGCCCCAGCATAGTCTCCTCCCAGAGCCCCAGCTTCTCCTCGCCTCCCTCACCCTTCTTTGGAAACCCATATTTGGCACCTGCTGTATGCAGAGCCTTAACTGTGGCAGCCCTGTCTAGCAGGGAGAGCTAAGAGTCTGGGAAGTGAAGCTACTTCCCTAGGCAGAGCCCAGAGCCCTGGCTGGGCCTGCCAGCTTTGCTAGCACCACCATCCTGGGAGGGAGGAAGGAAGTGCTGACATTACCCCCATTTACTCACTGGCCTGAGGGTGGGCTCCCTCTAACTTCCAGGTCTCAGTTTGCTCATCCCTAAGAGGACCCAGTGTCACCTGCCCTGAGGCGTGCTGGGTGTGTGGGTGGGAGTGTGGCCTTTCTCCCAGCCTCCAGCAGTTTCTGCTCTAGGAGTCTAGTTGAAATTTCACTTTTAAAATAAAGGAAACAGGAGATTCCACCCCCACCCCACTCCCCTTCCCCCAGCTAGAGAATAATACAAATTAGTCAGCTGACTGTTCTGATTCCTTGCTCACATTGAAATTGGCACCCAGTGTAAGCCAGAAAGACTTAAATGTCTCAGCTATTGATTGATCCAGGTACTTGCTTCAGGCAAGGCTGGATCCAGGCATCTGTACAGCAGCAAGAGTCCACACTGGTGGCTATTAGACAAGCTGTGTCCCCACAGCCCAAGCTGTCTCCTGCTCACACAGGGGAGGGTCCCCTTCTCACCAAGTTACATGCTGGTTCATGCACTGACCCCTGGCAGGGGCCTGAGTGCTGAACCTTGCAGACTCAATGTGCCCTCTCCCCACAGCCTGTCCCCTGGGAACCCACCACCCTGGGGAGTTGACGTCTCATGACCTTGAATGGAGGAGATGAAATTCGGAGGGCAGTGGGTACTGAGCTTGGCGCTATCATACCTCAGAATAGGATGTGTGAGGGGCCTTGGTGGACTTGCATACACCCTTGTGTGTCATCAGGGAGGGAGTGGTGTCTGGCTGGACCACTGCTTGTCTGCCAGTCTGATGGGGAGACCGGCATCCCACCTGGTTTTCTGTGTTGTGTTCTTGCGGAGCCCCTGCTGTGTGTGGGCACATGCCAGGTGCTTGGGATGCAGCCTCCCTGGCGTCGGCTCTGAGTGACCCTCTCTTCTCCCCTCCAGGCAAGGGTGGTGAGCGGAGCACTTATACCGCCTTCGGGAGAGATGCAGGTGTTGGGGGCTTGACTCAGGTGAGGCTGTGTGTAGGTGGGCGCTGCTGGGGCCCATTGGCAGCCAGCTAGCTGAAGAATCCAGAGAACGGGGTGGGTAGGACACCAATTTTCAGACTGGAGGGGCATTGCCAGTGGGCGGAGACTGGCCAGGGGTTGGTGGGGATGCACTGGAGGCTGCAGTCACTGCTCCACCCATCCCTTTCTTACCCACCTTTTAAATTTTTAAATTTTTAATTTTTTAAAAAGATTTTTTTTTTTATTTTCAGAGAGAGGAGAAGGGAAGGAGAGAGGGAGAGAAACATCGATGTGAGAGAATAACTGATCAGTTGTCTCTCGCACGCCCCCAGCTGGGGACCTGGCCTGCAACCCAGGCATGTGCCCTGACTGGGAATCAAACTGGCAACCTTTTGATTGGCAGGCTGGCACTCAGTTCACTGAGCTACGCCATCCAGGGCTTATTTATTTACTTTTAAAGAGATGGGAAGGGAGGGAGAAAGTGATGGGGGGAGAATGGTTATCTCTCGCACACCCCCAACTGGGGACCTGGCCTGTAACTCAGGCATGTGCCCTGACTGGGGATCAAACCAGCAACCTTTTGGTTCACATGCCGGTGTTCAATCCACTGAGCCACACCAGTCAGTGCTGGGGGCAGGCTTTACTGGCCAGGAGTAGACAAGGAAAGAGTAAGGCAGGGGAGGCCACAGCCTCATGTTCCCCTAACCTGGGGGCTATTGGACACAGTTGGAGTGCCTCAGAGAGACACCTCTACACAGAGAAATTGAGGCTGGCCCAGCAGCCTTGGGGTCCTGCTCCTTGCTCTTCCCAGAGAGCTCACCCCATAGGCCCCCAGCCTGGGCAGACCTTTATGCTCGCCCCAGCTGTAAGGCTGACAGCACTGACTGGTCTTAGCAGTCACATGTGGCCTCTTGTCCTGGTCACCCTTAGGGCATCATCCCTTGCATACCCGAGGGTTTCATTCCTGTCCCCTCCTGTGCCTCCTGAATCTCAGGCTGTGCTAGGCCTTGACCCAGGTGGCACCACCTGTGTGCACATCAAACATGAGTCAGAGCACCAACTGGGCACCAGGCCCTGTACCAAGGACAGAGCTCATAAGGCCCCCATTGGTCCCCATGACATCCCCTGAGCTGACATACCCGTTTTACAGATGGGAAAGATCAGGCATACAGCATCCACTTGCATGGAGCCTTGAACCCCAGTCACTCATGCTCCTACGGGAAGAATGCCCATTTCAAATTAATTATGCAGAATTAAACCATCTACCTTAAGAAAAAATGTGCAACCTAAACCAGATTTCACTGACACCTAGAAGCACACGTTTGCACAGTCTACATCCTGGAACGGGGTTACTCTTCAGACTTTCTGGCAGCTGTTTTTGTTAAGAATAATGTTGTAGCATACAGTCCCTGTGTGACAGGTGTCAGGTGGGAAATGTCGGAGGCAGGGATCGTGTTCACCCCTTGGATGGCCAGGCTGGGTGGTGGACACCAGCCCAGCCCCTGGTGATGATTTCCCTTCCCTTCCCCAGGCTGGCTTCCTACCCAGTGAGCTGTCCCTCAGCAGCCCCGGGCCACTGTCCCCCTCAGGCGTCAAGAGCGGATCTCAGTATTACTCTTCCTACCCGAGCCACACTCGGCGGAGAGCTGCGGACGGCAGCCTGGGTGAGTGAGTGAGTCCACCATCAGGGCTGATGGGCCCAGGGGTGGAGGACAAGGAGGGGATTAGCTCCCACTGTGTGCCTCTCAGGCCCTGGCCAGACTGGGAGATCAGATAGATAAACGGATGGGTAGTGAGCCAAGAAAGAAACAGTGGATTCTTGTCATTTGTAGAGATTCTGTCCTATAAAGTCACCACGAGCACTGATCTGCTCCTGGGGAAATGCAAGGATAGGTTCCTGCCACCCTCTGGTCACAACTGATCAACTCCTAACTTTGTGTCAAGTGTGTTTCTGTCTAAAGATACTTTATTTTACATAAGTCATAGGTTCATTAACAGAACTTGCCAATGGTGCTGTAACTTGGGCCTGAATGTTACTGATGTAACACACATTTTTCATGTCCTGGTAGTGTTTGTGCCTAGGGACAGTAGCCAGCACCATGTACCCAGGGGGAGTGTTTTAAGCGCAAAACCACCCTCAAGAAGCATGAAAATCAGATTCTCAGTGGATAGAGAAAGGGACCCTGATTTGTAGTCTGAGCTGGAATTAGAAGGCGGAGCACTGCTTGGGCCCCCTCAGTGGGCACATGCATGGTAGCTACACAGTTTCCCCTAACACACCACGTGTACGATTTAGGGGAACCAACTTCAGCAGATGTGCAAGTCTGGGATCTGTGAATAAAGGGGCAGAATGGAAGTCTTTGGAGCAGGGCTCTGGTTGAAGTGTTGATTTACTCCCTACTTTGCAGACTCCCTGCTGCAGAACACCCCACCCCCATGATTCTTGTACATTGTCAGACCCCTGCACATGGACCCAAGCCCTTACTTAAGTAATTGCATTAAAAGGGAAGCTCAAGGGCCTCTTCTCTGAGGTGTAGGGGCGGCTGTCTTCTGACACCCCCAGGGATACACGTGTCCCTGGGCCTTGAAGGATTCCCCTGTAACCCTGGCTGGGTGGGGCAGGAGCTAGGCTGGATGCGCATGGCTCACTCCTTTTACTCCAAACAGATGCGCAGCCCAAGAAAGTCCGGAAAGTGCCGCCAGGTCTTCCATCCTCGGTGAGTGGTGGGATGGAGCAGAAGCCACACAGTGGGCGAGGTGGGCAGTGTGTGCTGCTGTAGCTGGGAACACATGGCCTCCATGTGGCCTCCAGAGTGTGGGCACATGGGTTCTGGGCCGAAACCCCCAGCTAGACTGGCCAGTCAGCTAGGCTTTTGCCCTGAGGCCTCAGCTCTAACCAGAGACCACCTTCCAGGGAGTTTGGAAAGTTCTTTCTACAGTTCTAGGGTCTAGTCTCAATACTGCCTGCTTTAAGAGGTCATGTCCTGTGGTGCCATAGAAAGGGTGCAGATGGGGTCCTGTGGGTGGGAGCAGGCATAGGCGCCCTGAGGGCCAGTTTGGAGGTCCCCCCGACCCAGGTTCAAGCTACCCTTCATCCCTGCCTCACTGTCTGGAGGTTGGCAATGTACCAGGCCCAGCAGATGGTGCTGGGCCATTCGCTATTTAATCATGGGAAGAAAAGGCAATTTGCCTGTTTCCTCAGCCTAGCTCTGTGCTGGCCTCCAGTAGCCCTTGAGCCTGGAGGTCAGGCAAGGCCCCCTACAAGTTAACTCAGGCCACAGGCTCAGGGTTAGTGTCAGAGGTTGACAGTCCACAGCCAGGAGGTACAGTCAGGCTTAGGAGGTCTTGAGACTTGATTCCTGATGTCATTGACTCCCCGCTTTTTATTCATCTGAATCCCTACCCCAATTACTAGAGCTTAGAGCCCATTGGGCCCACTTCATCACACCAGCGCTGTGCATGCCTTATTCTACTCCCATGGTCAACATTATCAGTTGATCCCAGCACTTTTCTCCTGGACCCCGCCTTAGTTTCAGGCAGTGCCCACTGATCAGAGTTGGCACTGATCCTAGAAGACCTTTGCTATCTCCCTACTCTGGGATACCCTGGGTGGTATGTTAGTCTAAGGCCCTGTCTCTGAGGTCCCTGGGTCTTGCATGATCAAGGCTGTGAAGGCAAGGGAGGTTCCAGCATTGGGGGGATGAGGAGGAAGGGCGGGCTGGGGGCATAACAGCTGGGCTTTAATGGATCAGGAGTTTGTTGAATTAAAGAGGGAAGAGGGAAGAATTCTGTATAAGAGGTCCAGCTCAGGAGAACTGGGTGGTGGGATAGACTGCTGTCCAGGCGGAGGGCAGGACCAGGGAAGGGGCAAGCCAAGGGGTGGGGATAGGTTAGTCCTGCCCTTCCTGTCCATGCCCACCTACCTGCTTGCAGGTGTACCCACCCAGCTCAGGTGATGATTACGGCAGGGACGCCACCCCCTACCCATCTGCCAAGACCCCCAGCAGCACCTACCCGGCCCCCTTCTACATGGCAGGTACGTGGAGGCTCACCCAAGACTGCTAGAACAGGGCCCAGGTCCCTCTGCCCGCCTACCTCACTATCCCCTCCTCTCTACAGATGGCAGCCTGCACCCCTCGGCCGAGCTCTGGAGCCCCCCAGGCCAGGCGGGCTTTGGGCCTATGCTGGGTGGGGGCTCGTCCCCCCTGCCCCTCCCGCCGAGTGGCGGCAGCTCTGTGGGCAGTGGTAGTAGCAGTGGGTTTGGTGGCCTGCACCAGCACGAGCGCATGGTAGGCCCCTTGGGAAGGAGCGGGGGCGTGCATTCGGGTAGCGCCCTCTCTGACCCCCTTTGACCCCGTCTGACCTCCTCCGACCCCATCCCACCACAGGGCTACCAACTGCACAGCGTGGAGGTGAATGGTGGGCTCCCGGCTGTGTCCACTTTCTCGGCCCCCACAGCTGCCTATGGCAGTATTGCCAGCCACACGCCCCCCGTCAGTGGGGCCGACAGCCTCATGGGTATGGCCCCCTCACCCCACCCCGATATGGCCCTTGTTATTAATGACGTGTTCCCTTTCCTGGGATCAGCTCAGGTGCTTCCACCAAGTCTCTGATGTTTGAAAATGGCTTATCACCTTGAAACACTTCCCATTTAACCACCTCCTGCCTTGTGTGCTATTGTTGTTGCTTTTAGTGATATATTTATTTTAAGCCCCACAAAAAAAAAAAAAATGATTTTTTTGAGGCGTAAACGCCCCTGCTTCCCATCTGGGAAAACTGACTCCGAGAGGGGATCTCTTGCTTCAGGGGCCACGTTTGCCTGCCTCCAGAGCCTCCATAGAAGCGGGTGACGAGACATCAGGCAAAAGTCAGACCAAAACCGGGGTCTGCCAAGACCTGAGCTTGGGCCTCCATGCCCAGCAGCTGAGTATAGAAGGGAGCTTCCTGTCAGCCATGGCATCCAAGCCAAGCTCAGGTAGTGGGGGTGTCTAATCCTTGAGGTTGTGTCTCACCTCTATACACCCACAGGCTCTCGAGGGACTACAGCTGGCAGTTCTGGGGACGCCCTTGGGAAGGCACTGGCCTCGGTAAGGCTCAAGGCAGGGGCGGGGCGAGATGGGTGGGGGTAGTATAGCTGGGGTGGCTGGTCCAGTGACTGTGAGGGGCCAGCCCCTGACTGGTTGCCTGGTTGTCCTGTCTCTCCTCATCCCCATTTCAGATCTACTCTCCGGATCACTCAAGCAATAACTTCTCGTCCAGCCCCTCGACCCCCGTGGGTTCCCCACAGGGTCTAGCAGGTCTGTACTGAGTACTGCGTCGGGGGGTATGTCTGCTGCCTCCAGTCTGGGGTGGGTGGGAAGGAATCAGGCTGCATCATGGGATGGGAATTGAACAGACCACCGGCCTTGGAGTTTATATTCCTGTGGGCATCCAGCAAGGCTTCCAGGGATAGGTCCCTAAGCCAGGAATCTTAGGCCACACAGCAAGGGCAAAGGCCAGGAGTCAGGACCCAGGACCCAGGACCCAGGACCCAGCAGGTGTGTGCTTTTGAGTGTGAGGGGCACATGAGAACGAATAGGGCCAGGGCAGAGATGCCCAGAACCAAAGCAGCTGACCAGAGGCTCTCACCCAGACTCTAGAATGTACACATGTTGGTGTTCGTCCACACAACAGTTAGTTAGGCGCAAACTATATGCCCCACTCTTGTTGTGCCAAAGGGGCCAGGTCCTTCTATTTCCCACTTCTCTGTTCCCTGCAAGGAGGTACCTGGGGAGCCTGGAAGTGGGTGGGGATAAGAGCAGAGATTCCTGGAAGACCTGTGTGGTGCAGCAGGACTAGGAGGAGCTCGCCTCTAAGGCACCTACTGTGTGTCCCTGAACCAGCAATCTTTCCTGTGTGGAAGAAGGGGTTGTTGATTCTGCACAGGGGGAAAATGAGGCTTGGGAGATGTGAATCTGCCTGGACCCGGTTGGACTCATGGCCCTAGAACAGCTCTGTGGATACAGGCGCCCCCGTGTGGCTAGCCTGGGTATCATAGGCCACTCAACTTCCTTACCCCTGCCTTCTAGATTCTTTCCTCCCTCCTCCTCCCCTCCCTCTCTGGATCAGGCAGCACCAATGCCCTTCTTCAGGGCCTCCCATTCATGTGTCTCCTACCCTTTCCAGGGACGTCGCAGTGGCCCCGAGCAGGAGCCCCCGGTGCCTTATCCCCCAGCTATGATGGGGGTCTCCATAGCCTGGTGAGCTTCCATTGTGGCTGCTGGTGAGGGTGCTGGGGAAGGGGTGGAGGTGCTTGTGGACAGGCATGGAGACGCCAGTTCCCAGGTCTTCAGATGCAGCCCGTGGGGACAGCTCAGCATTTCTGCTGTGGCCGCATTTCATGTGATGTTGAAACTGAGTCCCATAAGAGAGCCATTAGATCTCGTGTGACCAGCAGAATCTGGATTAGGACATAGATGCCCCTTTGACAAGAATTAACTTTGTAAATAATTTGTTGAGAAAAAGGTCCAGCATTGTCTCCATGGCCAGTGCAGGCACGTGTTTCAGGCCAGGTCACAAAGGGCTGGGTGGGGGTCCTGGCAGACAGGCCACTCATTCCGCATCCCCACAGCAGAACAAGATGGAAGACCACCTGGATGAGGCCATCCACGTGCTCCGCAGCCATGCCGTGGGTACCTCAGGCGACATACATGGACTGCTGCCCAGCCATGGAACATTGGCCTCGGGCTTTGCTGGCTCCGTCATGCCACTGGGTGGACGGCACACCAGCTTGGTGAGTTCTGGGCAAGGGAAGGGCCAGAAGGGTGGGTGGTGGTAGCCCTGCCAGCCCCTGACTCTTCCACTTGTGGTCCATAGGTTGGAGGCAGCCACTCGGAGGACAGCCTCTCCGGCAATGGCAGCCTCATGCACAACCACGTAGTCCTCCCCAGCCAGCCCAGCACCCTCCCTGACCTCTCTCGGCCACCCGACTCCTACACTGGTAAGTCCCAGTATCGTGCCTGGGCAGGGTGGCCAGCACCTCCGAGTCACCTGTGCTCTGGCCCCTTCTCTGGGGCTGTCACTGGGCACCACTTCTTCCTCTAGAAAACAGAAATGACAGAAAGAGCTTGTGACACTGGAACAGCCAGGCTGGACTGTTTGCTCTGCTGGGATGGGGCTTGGGATTATCCCATTTCCGTTCCAGTTGAGGAAATTGAGGCACAGTGGAAACTGGGGAAGCCCTACGAGCATGGGTGGAGGCCAGGCAGGTGTGGTTACTGTCGCAGTCACCTGGAGTCCTAGAGAGGCCAGCAGAGACACTGGTCATCTCTTTCCAGAAGCAAAGTAGAGCCCAGCAGCCTCTAGTCTTGGCATTGGTGCAGGCGATGCTATAGCCATGAGAACTCCTGTTTTTTCAGTTGTCCAACAGTTTTGTGAACTGAGCGAACCCAACAGGCATGGATTCAGTGCCAAGTGTGTGCCTGGTATGTCTGTAGGCTCTGGGGAATAAAACATGGAATCCAACAGAGAAAGAACCACCCTCCCACCTACAGGTGGTGGGGAGGCAGGTGTGAGAAAGCGGGGAGGAGAGAGGATGCAGAGGGATTACAGTTTTAAGGATAGTTGGGGGGGTGACATGTTAGCAGAGCCAGAGAGGAGCAAAAATGGAAGGAGGGGGGAGCCCATGCAAAGGGCCTAGGACAGGACCCGGCCTGGAGTAGAGTGAGGGGCAGGTAGGGAACAGGGAACGGTCATGCAAGGCCTTGTAGGCCACACAGAAGTGTTGGGCTTCACCCTGAGGAGGTTGGCTCCCTGGAGAACTATGGGCAGAGGAGGGACAGGACCAGACTGGAGTACCATCTGGTGGCTTTGGGGAGGATAGGCCAGGAAAAGGCAAAGGTAGGATCTGCCCCAGGTGCTCACTGGTGCCCTTTGGTGGCTGCTTCTGAGAGGATAGACTGTATAGGGACAACAGTGGGAGCCAGGGACCAGGGCAGAGGGTACTCTGTGGTCCAGGAGTGGGGGCAGATGCTAAGGCCTGGCTAGGGAGCAGTGGGTGGGTTTTGGATATTCTGAAGGCAGAGCCAACAGGAACTGCTGATGTGGAGGTGATGATAGGATTTGGATCCAGAGGTCAGGGTGAGGCCCAGGTATCATCGCACATGGTGGAGTTCAAAGGCAAAAGAACCTAAATGGGGCAATAGACAGTGTGTGGACAGAGCGGAGTCCAGGCCTGAACATCAGGCCAAATGGGGACAGACACCTGTGGGAGGTGAAGGAGGGTGGACTGTGTCAGACGCCAAAGTGAGGACCCAGGCTACACTGATTAGGTATCAGAATGACCTGGGCAGGGGCAACACCAGTGGAATGCTAGGGCGCTGCTGTCCCGGAAGCAGGAGTGGGAGGGAGTGAGGTCTAGTGGGGTTTTTTCCTTTTTTTTTTTTTTTTTTTTTAATTTATTTTTAGACAGGGGAAGGGAGAGAGAGGGAGAGAAACATCAATGTGTGGTTGCCTCTTGCACATCCCTACTGGGGACCTGCCCCACAAGCCAGGCATGAGCCCTGACTGGGAACCAAACCAGTGACCCTTTGGTTCTCAGGACAGCGCTCCATCCACTGAGCCACACCAGCCAAGGCAAGAGTGTTTCTTTAAAGACTGAGGTGACATGTTTGAAGGTGTTGGGGCCAGCAAGGGGAGGCCCCTGGTGAGCAGGACAGCTATCCATTTGCTAGGTCTGTGGCAGGGCTCACGAGCACATACTAGGGATCAGGGTCCTGGGTCTCATCATGGCCAGTCTCAGGATTAGTTAATGCCAACCCTGCTACGTACAATAGGGGAGATCGAGGCTCAGAGAGGGGCTAGGGGCTCCCCACCAGGCAGTGGCTGAGCCTGGCCTCTACCTACCCTGCCCTTGCATCAACCTTGTGAAAAGTGTATCACATCAAGTGACAAAAATGTGAGGTTGGTGTATGACATGGCTGCTTAATGTACCAAGCACCCTGGGAACCCACCGTGCAACCTAAATTAGAGCAGGCTCTCTCATACCTGCCTGGGGACCCTTCCCATCCTGCCCTGACTCCCACCCCCAAACACCAGCTGGCTTTGAAAGAAGTCAGTGCTTTCGTGTTTCTTAGTTTTGTTACTCCACACCCAGAAGGCACTGGGCAATATCTGGGAACATCTGTGATTTTCATCAGTAGAGATGCACCTCTGGCATTGAGTGGGTGGGGGCGAGGGCTACTGCTTATTGCCCCACAGTGCCCAGAACTGCCCCGGAGAATGACCTAGCCCCAGTGTCCACAGTGCTGAGGAGGAACTCTAAGCTTTTACCCTAGGTCCTCCCCCTCCCTTCCCTTCCCTTCGGTGCATTCATTGAAGAACCCTGGGCTATTTCCTGTGTTAGGCATTTTGCCATTTTGCACTTCAGCGTAGTTGAATTCAGTGTAACTGTTTGCCCTGAAACCGTGTATTTTGTTAATGTGGTTTTTGGATTCTCAAAAATCAACAACCTGCCAGAGTTCTTCTGCATCTGTTTGCTTGCTCATGTTGATTGTGAGGTCTGCCACCCTGCAAGTGGCAGAGGACAGGCCCAGGGCCTACCTAGGACATTAAGTCGCTTCCCACTCTGCTTCCATTAGGTGTTTTCTGGAACATGTCACCTGGTACACATGTGCAAGAATTTTTCAAGTGTGGTTCCAAATTGTGGAATTTCTGGATACACATGTGTCCGTCTACCTATTCCAGGTTATACCCGGTTGATTCCCAGAGTGGTCATACCAACATGCTGTGTCACAAGCAGTTCTTAGAATTGTCAAGTCTCTCCATTCAGCTGACTTACTGAATGTGACATGTAGCTCATTAGTCCTCATTTGAAAGTTCATGTTGCTCTAATGATGCAGATTTCCATGTAGCCATGTCTGTTTCTGGGCCTATGAAATACCTTCTTGGTGCTTCACCTGTTTTCCTGTTGAGCCATCTGTCCTTTTCTTATTGGTATACAGGAGTCCTTTACATATTGTGGAGATCCAGCCTTTGTTGGTTTATGCGTGACAAGTACCTTCTGTCCTGTGGCGTGTCTTACTTTCTTTGGTATCCTAGTGATCAGAAATTTTCAATTATGATACAGTCAGGTTTATCAATTTCTTTGGAGAACAGCTCTTTAGTATGTTACAAAATAGTTCCCTGCCTCCTGGCAGCATTGAAATTCCCCTGCACTTCCCTCTAAAGGTTTCACCTTTCCTGTTTCAGACCTTTGTCTATAATTATGTGCCTGTGTGTAAGGTAGGTGGTTTGTTCCCCCGCACCTCACACTTTGCAAATGAAGGCCTGGCTGTCCAAGGAGAGCTCACACACCTCACGACAGGGTCAAGGGGGATTTGTCGAGTGGCCCTGGAGGTGGCTATACCCTAACTCCCAGCCTGTTTCAGGACTTGGTCACAGGGCCACCGCCTCAGGTACCGGCGAGATCAAGCGGGAGGAGAAAGAGGATGAGGAGAATGTGTCAGTAGCCGACAACTCAGAGGAGGAGAAGAAGGAGCTAAAGGCCCCCCGGATCCGGACCAGGTGCCAGCCCCTTCTTGGCCCCTGCCCCACCCATCAGGACACAAGCATACGCACACAGTGCTCACACCAGTGGCGCTCACACCGCGAGGCATCCGGCGGGCCCTGCGCCTGTTCCCCGCCTCACTGTCTCCCTCTGGCCCCCTGGCCCCCCCCACCCCCATAGCCCGGACGAGGACGAGGACGACCTTCTCCCCCCAGAGCAGAAGGCTGAGCGGGAGAAGGAGCGCCGGGTGGCCAATAACGCTCGGGAGCGACTGCGGGTCCGAGACATCAATGAGGCCTTTAAGGAGCTGGGGCGCATGTGCCAGCTGCACCTCAACAGTGAGAAGCCCCAGACCAAACTGCTCATCCTGCACCAGGCCGTGTCGGTCATCCTGAACCTGGAGCAGCAGGTGCGAGGTCAGTGGGGGCACTGCTCCCCTCCCGTCGCCTCTGCCCCCCCCCCGCCCCCGCTCTCTCCTTCCCCTTCCTGGAGCCCGCCTCCCCTGCAGTGACCACCTCTCTGCAGTGACTGGTCTCTTCTCACAGTGACCACCTCCCCATAGTGACCACACCTTGTAGTGACCGTTCTCCCATTCTGAACCAGCTGCCCTCTGCCTGGCCTGGCCCGGCCCGTGTTCCCTCTGGAATGGGAGGATGAGACTCTGGACCCCTAGCCCTACAGACCTGGGCACTTGGGCTCAGAATTGTATCCTGGACCCTAGGGACCCCTGCCCACTCCTTCCGTCTCAGGAAGCCCAGAGCCTGGCCAGTAGGTGCCAGTGTCTCTTGGGGCCCAGAGGCTGTCGCTGTCACTCTGAGCAGACACCTCGTGGGACCCCATAAACCCCCATCTGCAAAGGGGGTTCACCCCCCTTTCCCAGGGCTGGGTGACCATCTGAAAACCTCCCCCAGGTGACTCCCTTCTCCCCCAAAACCAACTGCTTCCTTAACTCTTCCCCGTCCTGCACACCCGTTAACCCTTTTTCTCCTGCAGCACTGTCGCTTGTACTGGAGCTGGGGCTCTGGCCCCCCCCGCACTGTCCCCTCAGCTCTCAGGTTTCCGCATCTGCACTTGGTGTGGGCATCATGCCACGTCCCCGCGTTCGCCTCTCTGCTCTCTTGACTCTTGCGCTCTTCCCCCACCCAGCCTGTCCGTCTCTGCTTCCACCGGCAGCCCCTCCTTACCTCGCACTTGCTGCCCGAGTACTGGATGGCTGGTGGCAACCTCAGGCCCTTTCCTCTGCAAAGCCCCCAGTGGAGACTTGAGAGAAGAAAGGGGACTGAGGAGCACCAGCCTCTGGGCCTGGCTGTCAGTTTGGTCTGCGCGCTTGTCCTGGGCTCCGGGGCCAGCAGGCAGGGTGAGGGCAACAGCCCCCCCCAGCACAGGAGCAGGACGGCACCAGGGGTCCAGGTTCCTGTGTCTCAGGCGCATGCTGCGTGCCAGGCCTTCACTCGTGTTCATTTTATCACAACAACTGAGTGTGGCAACTGAATGTCCTGATTTCGATTTAGCCCCCATTCTACTGAAAAAGAAACAGGCAGAGAGTGAGGTCACTTTTCCAAAGCCACACGGCCATGCAGCTACTAGGGCTTGGGCTGGGTGTGGACCAGGTGGGCAGGTGTTTGAGCTCCAGTTCCAGAATCTTGTGTGGTCAGTGGGCCCAACTCAGCGCCCAGCACGCACAGCACTCCATAAATTGGAGCCATCACTGTGATCTGAAGAGCAGAAGCCCCAGACCCAGGGAGCTAACGCTCCCAGCCCAGAGTTGGAGCCTCTGGGTAAGGCTTATGGTGGGCACTCCAGACATAGCCGTTAGGGTAGCCACAGTCCAGTGTGGAGTCTTGGAGGGTATGAGCTGGTTGGCTCTTTGTGGGACTTAGTGTCCTGGACCATTCCCAGGCCTTTGCCTGCTGAGCCAGTCTCCTCAGCCCCTCCACCCTGACTGATCCACCCAGGCAAGCCCAGCTCTCCCTCACCCAGCAGGTTACTGCTCTGAATGGGGAAGGTCGTCATCCCAGGAGGGACGCCAGGCCTCTCTTGCCTTCCTGGCCAGTCCTGGGGCATGTGGGATGGGCAAGGGGTAGATGGAAAGGCCCACCTCCATTACTATGAAATGTCCTGGTGACTGACGAGCCTTGACCAAGGGACATGACAAAGCCTTGTCTAGAGCGGAACACAGGCACACTGCCTATGGTTTTTGGTTCAGGAGCACATTTTTATGGACATGAAGATGCACACACTAGGCACACGCACTCATGCCATGGTGCCTGCCCTCAAATGCAAGCCGTAGACCTGCCCCTGTGCTGAAGCACCCACATTCACACACAGCCATCGGGTGCCCTCTCCACACCCCTGGCCCTGCCCACCCACCTACCCACTGTTCGGGGGGCCCCCCCATTCCCCTGCACATAACTAACAGAGGCCCTGGTGCTGTGACCCAGCAGTACGGAGGAGGTGCTATCCCTGGAGGAGAAAGACCTGAGGGACCGGGAGAGGCGTATGGCCAATAACGCGCGGGAGCGGGTGCGTGTGCGGGACATTAACGAGGCCTTCCGGGAGCTGGGGCGCATGTGCCAGATGCACCTCAAGTCGGACAAGGCACAGACCAAACTGCTCATCCTGCAGCAGGCCGTGCAGGTCATCCTGGGCCTGGAGCAGCAGGTGCGAGGTAGGCGCCCAGGCCAGGAGTCCCCACCCTAGCCCCTTCCCACCTGCATGCCAATGGTGCTTCACTGGAAGTGGGTTGCACTAGCTTCTGGGCTCTGTCCACATCTCAGACTCTGACACCCCCACCAGGACACCCAACCTGTTCTTTACAACCCCGCGGCCCTGCAGTCTTCTCGGAATGGGAGGACAAGTCAACAGATGGAGGCAGCCGCACGTGGTGGGGCCCTTGCCTTCCTCCAGCGTTCTGCCACACTCCCCACACCCTGTCTCCTCATGTTCCCTCTCTCGGGGACCGTCTCCCACAGTCCTCTCCCTCTACCACCAGAACGTAACCTGAACCCCAAAGCAGCCTGCTTGAAGCGACGAGAAGAGGAGAAGGTGTCAGGTGTGGTCGGAGACCCGCAGATGGTGCTTTCAGCCACCCACCCAGGCCTGAGTGAGGCCCACAACCCTGCTGGTCATATGTGAAAGGTACGCCACCGTCAGCTAAGTTGACCCGACCTCAGTCTAACCTGGGATGGTCACACAAGGTATCAGGTCCATCGTCAATGTGGGCCAGCCGGTCCACACCTCACACAAGCCTGTGGTCAGTGTTGAGCCAACACCAACCTAAGGAAGCTGCAAGTGATGGGAGCCCTGGAGGCAACAACTGGGTCTAGGAGCCCTCCCAGGCACCCTGCTGTATCCACCCCCAGGCCTCAGCCACCCCTATGCCCTGGGACTTGCCTGATGGATCCTGAAACTGCATCTTGGCCTTGCTACCCAAGCTCTGGCCAAAAGAAGCTTTCTTTCTTTCTTTTTTTTTTTTTTTTGGTAAAAACTGGAAAGCAAATGAAATATACAATACACTTTGTCAGAAAAGGAAAAAAATGCCTTAAGTATAAAACATGGAAAAGTTGAAACATATCACTCGCTGGAGAGAAACTCTGTGAAAAACTGGCTTGTTCTTTAAAAGCCACCAGCAAATTGTGCCTATGCCTGATATTTTTTTTAAGGGAAATAAAATGCTAGTTATGAGAATTTTTTTTTTTTTTAATGTAGAAGAAAATTAGCAAGGAGGATGCCTTTGGTCTTTTTTTTTTTTTTTTAGCTTTTTTTGGCGTATGTTTTGTAAGCAACAAATGTTTTTGTATAAAAGTTTCATGTCTCTTGCTATTTCTGCTGCTGTTTCTAGAACTGAGCATCACATTTCACGATCAAACAGATGAAAAGTGGTATTAAGAAGACCCCACTGTAAACCTGAGGTCCCCCACTCCTGCACCAGGAGCCCATCTGTGGGGCACAGGGAGAACAGGGACGGGTGGCTCTCATTTTAGTTTTTTAGATGTTGGGGTTTGTTTTCTTGCTTTGGGGTGAAGTGGTGGGTGGACTTTCACCCTGATGGGGGCCTCCCCTCATGATCCTCTCTCCCTCCAAGAGAGGGGACACTCTAGTCTCTCAGGCGGGGCAGAGGCTCAGCTGAAGTACGGCTCTCCCAGGTGAAAAGGCTAAGGGCCCTCCTCCAGAAGTCACTCTGGTTCTTTGGGCACCTCCCAACAGCATGCCACACTCCCTACATCCCTCTCTGGGATCCCAAAAGTTGCTCTCCCTGTAGCCCACAGAACTCTAGAATTGTGACCCAGTTTCTAGGACATGAGGACTGTACTGCTGGAGCACAACACTGTGGGGCCTTCCCAGACTCCTCCTCCTCCTTCCCTTTGACCTGGGAACCCAAGCCTGTATTTGCACTGTGGCAGCAAGGCTCTATGTCGTTCAAGGTCAGCACAGAAAACTTGCAGTACCCCACCAGCCCCTACCAAGTGGCTGTCCTGGTGTGGATGGGCCAGAAGTGGGCGTGGACAGAGCAGGGAGAAGGTACAGGGTCCCTGGCTCAGAAAACCCCCCAGGTTATACACCTGTCCAAATACTGCCCAACTGCAAAAGGAGAAGGGTATGTCACCCTTGGGCCTGTGGGCTGTGGTGACCAGGCTTCCCTAAGTCCCCTTTGGTATCAACTTCTCTCATGTGTCACCAGGGGGACCAATTCATTCCAGGACTGTCCCAGGTTTACACTGATCATCTGCATTTTTGGACCCCCTGCAGTTCCCAGGAAAACTGCAATGGTGGGTCACCCTACATGTCACCCAGGTACAGGATCAGGCCTGCTGGGGTCTCAGTTTCCTTACCTGTATGCCCCCCACCCGACCCATAGAGGCCTTAAGGACCCTCAGCCTAACTGCGTTCACCCCACCAACATCTCAGTGGGATGCTGGGGAGTGGGAACTCTCCCCACGTTTCCAGGGCCACCTGACACACATACACCACCCCCCCATCCCCACCAAATGACTAGAACTCCCCACGGTTAGGAAGCAAAGTGCTCTGTGGGAAGCTCAAAAGCACCCCACGGCCAGCACCAGGCAAGACATCCAGGCTTGGGTCCAGGGCCAACTCCTAACCCCTGATACCACCTGGGTTCTCTTCTAGGGTCTTATCTAAGACCCATTGGGACAGCAAGAAGCTATCAGTTCACCTGATGATTCCCTTGGTCTGTTGTGTATTGTCTCTCTTGGGGAACCTGCCTCAATTTCCCTCTTACTCTGCTTTTGGTCTTGCCCCTTGGTCCAGACAGGCAGGGGCCAAGGGCTCTAGTATCCCCGAGGACTGCAGATTTTTGAACTGTGTCTTTCTTACATACATAATTTAAAGTGTAGCCCTGGTCAGTAGCTCAGTTGGTTATATTGTCTGGATATGCCAAGGTTTTTCAGTCTCTGATCAGGGCACATAGAAGAATCAACCAATGAATGCATAAGTAAGTGAAACAACAAATCAATGTTTCTCTTCCTCTCTTCCTCCCCCTCCTTCAAATTAATTTTTTAAAAAGTAATTTAAATTATATAACATGAGATTAACCCAGCAGGGGAAGACGTAGCACTGGGGGTGGGGGGGGGGGCAACCACACTTAAAGGAAATTGTGCTCTGAGTGCCTCAAGGTAACTGGTTTTTTGTTGGTTTTTTTTTTTAATTTTTTAAGAAAAATAATTTTATACAAGTGCCCACACAGCTGGCTGGATTCTTTGGAAATTTTAAATGAGACCCTGTGAAGTCAATATGGAGACCTGTACATAACAGCACTGTAGCAATAAATGTGACATATGACAATGCTCAGCTGTCTCCTGCTCTCTCAGCAACTGTGTTCTTAGCAATGGGGCGGGGGGGGGGGCAGCAAAAAAGGTGGTCCCCTGAACTCGGGGTCCCTGGCCTCAAATATGAGGGAGCAGATTGTTGACTGGCCTGATGCTTGTGTCCTGTGAGGATGGTACTGAGGATGTGGGACTCTTCAGGATGCCCGGGCACTGGGGGTGTGAGTGTCCTGGGGCAGTCCTAACAAAGTGCCACACGTGGGTGGAGGCAGCTTAAACCCACTGTGATTGATTCTCACATCCTGAAGGACTGAAGTTCAAGGTCAAGGTGTTATAGTGTCACAGGACCACATTCCCTCCAGAGACTCCAGGGCTTGCGGCCACCTCACCCCAGTCTCTGCCTCTGTCTTCACATGGCTTCTCTTTATCCCATGTCTGTGTCCACATCTCCCTCTTACAGATACACTTGTCACTGCATCAGGGCCACCCAATTCCTGAATGACTTCACATTAATGACATTTACAAAGATCCCCTTTCCAAATAATATCCTGTTCATTGGTACCACGGGTCAGGACTTACCATGTGTTTTGGGAGGGGCACAACAATTCAGCCACAACAGGGATCTGACTGGGGTGGGCTGAATTAGGCCAGCAAAGCCACTGACTCATCTGGAAAGACAACCACAATTTCTCCTAACACCAAAGCTCCATGTGAGGCAGGAACCTGCACTTATAATAGGGGCTCCTGGTGACTTGGGACTGGGATTGGCTCACACAGAAAGGCTGCTTCCAGAGATGCTGCCCGTTAATTTTTAGATTATTGATGCAATATACCAGACGCCATGGAATTGTGTATATTAAATGGGTGAACAGCACAGTGTGTGAATTACATCTCAACAGAAGTGTTTAGAGATACATCTTAGCCTTTGCTGGTGTGGTTCAGTGGATTTAGTGCCAGCCTGTGAACCAAAAGGTCGCCATTTCAGTTCCCAGTCAGGGCAGGTAGCCAAATTGTGGGCCACGTCCCCAGTTGGAGGCAGGGGGCATTTGAGAGAACCAGTGGATACAACGATGTTTCCCTCCCTCCCTCCCTTTCCCTCTCTTTAAAAATATAAATAAAATCTTTTAAAAATAAAAAAGATACATCCTAAAGGTGCCGAGCTTTGGCCGGTGTGGCTCAGTTGGAGCATCATCCAGTGCACAGAAGGACTGCAGGTTCAATTCCCAGTCAGGACACACGCCTGAGTTGCAGGTTTGGTCCCCAGATGGGGCATGTGTGGCAGGCACCTGGTCAAGGTTTCTCACATCCATGTTTGTCATTCTCCTGCCTGCTCCTCTAGCTTTCTCTCTAAAAGCAATGAAAAACGTCCTCTGGTGAGGGGGAATAAAAAGGTGCCTAAATTCTCACAAAATGAGGCATCCCCTCTCTGTCCCAGCAAGGGTTGGCTCTGGAAATTTCTGGAAGGAAAGCTTGCTTCACTCAGCTCCGAGAAACCCTGTGGGCAGTGGATGAGGCATCAGGAAATAAAATGATGGGTATGTCACCTTGACAGTGGTGATGTCAGGGTGTGGTGCACCGGGTGCCTGTCGCCTGCCTCTGCCCAGGCCTCCAGCAGCCCTTTTGGCTCTCAGAAGATGGATGCATATGGCCAGGGCCTGATGAGAACCTGCTGAGCCCGGCCTCCTGGAGCAGCCCTGTCACCCTTGGACCAGGGAGGGAAAGGACGTGCCAGACTAACACGGGGAGAACCACGCCACTCCATGGTGCGTGTCATCAGAGGTCATACTGTGCTGCAGCTGGCGATGGTGGCACCTGGAGCCTGTGAACAAGGCCTTACAGGGAGGCCTCAGAAATACGGTGGGTTCAGATCCAGGCCACCACAATGAAGCAAGCTGTAATAATTTTGCTGGTGGAGGGTCTGGCCTTCAATTTGTAAAAAGTGCACCATCTGAGGCCTAAAAGATGCCAGGTCCGGAGGCCGCATGCCCCTTCTGAGATGCAGGAGAAGCCTCTGGAAGGTCTGCTGTGCCTGCCTGGAGACAAAGGCACACGATGTGAGCATCACTGAGAAAGGAGAAGAGCACCGTGAATACCTAATTAAGGTCCACAGGGGGTGCGTGAGAGCCCTGGCATTTAAAATACGAAATGGTGGTCTGCTCCGGAAAATGAATAATTCCTGAAGAATGAAGATGATTTCCCACAGGAAACTGAAGAAACGAAAACTTAACGGCCCAGGAGTAAATTCAACATAAATGCAATAAAAGTAAAAAAAATTTAAAAATAAGAATAAGATAATTTAGTAATTTGGGGAGTTCTTTGATAAATTTTGATAAGTGGAAAAAGTTATTTACAATTCAAAAAGAAAAAGGAAAATTCCCTGGTCAAACAAAAAAATATCTATCATCTGTGCAGTGCAATAAAGTGAGGATTGCCTGCATTAGAAAACAGGTTTTGCAGATGTAACCAAGGGAAGGATCTGAGATGAAGTCATTTTACCTTATGGGGTGGGAACCCAGTCAATGACAGTGTGCCTATACGAGACACATAGAGGAGAAACACAGACACAGGAGAGAGAGAAGCTGAGGAACAAAGGAGGCAGAGACTGCGGTGATGTGGCTACAAGCCCAAGCACACGAACCTGCCAGAAGCTGGGACAGGCAGGAAAGGACCTGCCCCTGGGGCTTCTGGCGGGAGCGCAATCCTGTGACACCTTGGTCTGGAACTTCTGGTCCCAGAAGGCAAGAGATTAAATTCCTGTTGTTTCATGTGGGCTGGCGAGCGGTCAGTTGTTACGACAGCCATGGGAAACGATATAGCAAGTGTCCCTTTAAAAGTAGTAAAACATGCAAAGGCTACAGGATTCCCATGTGACTGGTGGATAGGTGCAGCTACTTCAGAAAACAGTGGCGGCACACCTGAAACTAGTGTAATGTTATATGTCAATTGTACATCAATTTTTTAAAAAGAGTTTGGCACTCTAGTGTGGTTCAGTTGGTTGGGCGTTGTCCTGCAAAGGGAAAGGTTGTCAGTTCAATTCCCAGTCAGGGCATGTGCCTGGGTTGCAGGTTTGGTCCCCAACAGGCATGTAGGAGAGGCAACCAATCATTGTTTCTCTCCCTCTCTCCCTCTGTTCCCCTCTCTCTAAAAATAACTGACTAAAATATGTTGTTTTTAAAGTCTGGCAGTTTCTTCAACAGTTAAACATATGCTTTCCTGTGAGACAGCCCCTACACTCCCAGGCACCCACCCAAGACAAACCAAGACACTCATTTGATATGGACATGATCATCCATTGCAGCTTCATTTATAATAGAAAAACCCTGGAAACAACCAGAATGCCCTTCCCCGGGTGACTGAACGAGACCTGTCTACGCATAGCAAGGAATACAGCTCAGCAGCAGCAGGACGACAGACACGACGACCGGATGACTCTCCGAATACTTACGCTCTGTGGGAGAGGCCAGGCACCAAAGAGAGCAAACTGTATGACTCCCTTTATAGAAAAGTCTAGAAAATGCAAACTAATTGATAGCAGCAGAGAGCAGATGAGTGATGGCTGGGAGGAGGGTGGGGGAGGTGTTCACTGGATCAGTGATGGTGATGGTTTCACAGACATGCACATGTCCAACACCAACCTGTATGTTTTAAATATATGTATTTTTTGTATGTCAAACATCAATAAAGTAGAAATTTTAAAAGAATCCATCCACAGATGAATGGACAAACACAATGTGTCCATCCAGACACTAGAATATTAGCCATGAAAAGGAGAAAAGCACTTGTAATAACTACTTATGGTGCCAGGTGGGTACTAGACTTATGGGGAGGATCATTTCATAAATTATATAAATGTCTAACCACTATGCTGTACACCCAAAACTAATATAATGTTGAATGTCAACTGTAGTTGGGAAAAAAAAAAAAGTGAAGACTGTCGTTTGCTACAACGTGGATAAACCCTGAAAACGATGTTCAATGAGAGGAGCCAGATAAACAAGGCCACACAATGTGATTCCATTTGTGTGAAATGTCCAGAACAGGCAAACCCACAGAGACAGGAAGTGGATTCATGGTTGTCAGGGGCTGGGGAGTGACCGCTGATGGGGGCGGGGCTTTTTTTAAGAGATGAAAATGTTTTGGAACTAGATAGAGGCGGTCGTTGCACAACCCGATGAATGCACTAAATGCCACTGCACTCTATATTTTAATGGTTAATTGTATGTGATGGGAATTTCTCAATAGTAAAAACAAGAAAAGGAGTTCAGTTGTCCCCGGAGGGGCAGACAGGAACAAACGGAATCCAGGAGGCCTCAGCAGAGGTTCAGCAGGGTGGGAGGGAGGTCGGCAGCTCATGCTACCCAACATCTCCTCTGGTCACAGAATCCTGGTTATTCTCTTTTGGGGATCCTCTTCTTTCCATTTCAGCCTATGTCCTCATATGAGAGAAGCTGATCCTGCCCTGTTTCCAAAGCAGGCTATCAAAAACCAGCCTTGGGACGTTTTCTGCAATTATTGGGAAAGAGGTACCATGTTCCTGCAAGAGCGGCTGGAAAATGAACCCAGAGTTTGCGGGCCATGCTGCCCAGAAAGAGTTTGCCAGAAAATAAGGGTGACACAGAGAAAAGAGCTGAGAGAAAAAAAAGAAGAGATTGATAATAATATTGCCAGACTCCTGGATCTAGCCATGTCTGAAGTTACACAACATGCCATAAAACTCTTACCCCGTTTTTGTCCTGGCTGGAATACATTATGCAGAAGAAGCAATAGAGGCAGGGCTTCAGGAACTGCTGAATCCAAGACCCGTAGACCCAGGCCTCCATGCCCGTGTCTGCTAGTCTTTTCAGGCCGGCTCTATTCTTTCTCCCTTTTCTCAACAAATCTTTGTAACGGCCCCTACTTCCCACTTTTTAAGTTTCCACCAAGGACAGAGACTTTTTCAGGCCCTGTCTTATGACTAAACTACTAAACTAAAAAATTCTCGAGGAACTGAAGTGAATGAGAAACGAGGCTATAGTCACCACCTACTATTCCCGGCTCCCAGTCCAGGGCCGGGGACCAGGGGCAGGTCGGAGCCTGCAGCTCCTGCAGGCAGGCGGTTGAGGGCTCTGGGAGGAGGCAGGGCTGGGCAGCACACCCGCGGCGTCCGGGACTTACCTCCAGGCCTGCTGCTTTCTACGCGGGGTTCTAGCGAGCCCTGGCGGCGGTCAGCCAGGATGGGGTGGGCCTGTCACCCCATCACATCATCTATCAGGGGACTCGGGTGTCCTCGGGGTCCGGAGCTGGCCGCCCTCCGCCGCCGGGAGAAGGAAGCTCTGCACTCGTCGAAGGAAACGTGCACAGAATTCCAACAGACAATCGCGAGAAGCAAACAGGTTTGGGGAAGCTCTGCCCTTTGACGAAGTCCCCATTAAGAACGGGTCAGTGAGAGCCCCACTTCTCTAGAAGTGGGTTCACATCATACCCTGACCCTTGGGCGACCCTGGGCAAGCCCCCTCCTCGCCTGGCCTCAGTTTTGTTAGTTGCAAATGAAGTTCTGGCACATAGTAAAAACACAAAGCCACCGGCCAAATGTCGTGAGCCGGTCCTAGTTTCTGGAGGCCGCACAGCTGGGGCCTCGGTGACAGCTGGTACGAAGACTTAGCTAGAGGCGCTGGGTCACGTGCTCATAGGCCCGCCCACACTCGCCCTAATCTAAACGTCATCCGCCCCGCCCCGGAAATGACTGCTAATGTATTCTGGGTCTGCGCGCGCAGTGTCCCGGTCTGGATTGCGCGTGGTCCGTCGACCCGGGGCGGGGCCTCTTACGCGCCTACGCAGTGCGTCCCAGGCGGGCGGAACCAGGGTCACCCTGAGCTGCGAACTCCGTCGTGATGCTGAGCAAGTTGCTGGGCCCGCGTTACCTTCAACTGGCCAAGAACTGGTGAGGTCGCGGCCTCCGCCCTCCGCACCCTGTGCCCGCCCTCCCCAATCCGCGCCGCCTCTGTGCGGCCCCTATCTGCGCGCACTGCCGCCCCCAGACCTCAAATCGTGCCGGGCCACACATGCGTAAACTGAGGCACAGAGAGGCGGAGTGGTCTGACTCGGGCACACCTACACGGCGAGCTTCTGTTCCCGTGGCCAAACCGCTCTGAGCCTCAATTTTCCCACCTCTACCTGGGGGCCGCGACGGTGCCCGCCCGGGAGGCGCCCACCCTGTCCCCGCCCAGCACCCTTGGCTCAACTGTTCGGGCCTGAAAACTGATCCTGTGTGTTCCCGGCTTTGCTTTTGGTGTTTTAAATGGCCTTGAACAGGGAGCGTGAAGCTTACGCCTGCACCTGTCCCTGCTCCCATGTGGGAGGCCGATGGGATTGGGGTTGACAGGGTGAGGCGCTAAGAAAGAGGGGACTACACCCGGTAGTCTTGTCTGCGAGCTCAGGTAGGGAGAGAGGAGTGGGAGCCGCCTCTGGACAATGGCTCTGGCAGGGACCTTCAGGTGGACACTGATAGTGGTGATTGACAGCTGGAATGGCCAGGGTTGCAAGGTGAAGGTTGTCCCTGGCGTATCAGGTGAGAACCACCAGCGCCCATACAGTCCCTCTGCCTGTTGTCCCGGACATCCCCAAGGTCAGTTGGTCCATTTTCATGTGGGGCTGGTCAGAGCAGCGACAGCCTCTTCCAGGCTTTCAGTTAGTAAGCACTTTGAGCACACAGTATGTGCTAGCACCTAGGACTGTTAAGTGCCAGAGACACTGATAAATGTAACCTTTGTGGCTGATGTTCTAGTCAGTGCACAAGAGAAAGTGAACAAATGAGATCTATGGTATAAGACTGTTTGTCCTCAGGGAGTGAATCACCCTCTCTGCCTGGTCTCATCTGTAAAACAGAGACCCTGATAGTCATGCCTCCTTCAGTTTTAGGCTGTTGCAGGGGTTAGCCAGTCACTGTAAACTGTATATACAGTGCATGCACACATTGGCTGTTGGCTGTAGTAGTTACAAGCTTGGGTTGTTTTCTTAGTAGCAAATTCCTCAGATGAAACCTTAGGCAGATCACAATAGGAAAGCAGACAGCAGTTGTGTCACTTTAGGGTCTTCTGCCGGTGCCTTACCTGCAGGATTGTCAGCAGGATGTGTCCACACATTGGGCAGGGGCCAGTACATGGTGAGTGACTGATATTACGGTAGCTAGGGATGGAGGGAGGGACCAACATGTGCTACCAGGAGGATGAGCCCCCAGCAGGGCCTGACCCCTGCTGCTCCTCTCACAGGATTCCCACAGCAGGCATGTGGGGCGCTGTGGGCGCCGTGGGGCTAGTGTGGGCCACCGACTGGCGGCTGATTCTGGACTGGGTGCCCTACGTCAATGGCAAGTTTAAGAAGGATCACTAATTAAACTGACCCTCCTCAGACCCTTCTGGTAAGTTTAGCGACTCTCGGCAGGTGATACGCTTCCATAAGGTGGGTTCCCACACTTCCAGGCCTGGGGCAGCAGGGCGGGAAGGCTCACCTGGACTGTTGACCCTGGAGAATGTCTGTGGGCAGAGCTCCGGAGTAGGCACTCCAGGTACCTCCTGCCCATTGGCACAGAGCCGCCAGCTGGCAGCCTCAGTTTGTGAGGCAGTGGAGTGGGCACTGCTCCTCAGTGCTCAATCCTGGAGACTGACCGTGTACCCTGCGTGCCATCTCAACCCGTCCAGGCCTGGGCAGAACAGAGGAATGCCCAGTTTATATTTGGGGACAGCGGAGGTTGGCCCACAGCCACTGGCTTCCCTGGATGGGCTGCTCTGAACAGTAATGAGCCCTTAGACCTTTCCATTAGTCCCTGGCGTGACCATCAATGTGCTGCCCATGCTGCCTGTGTCATTAGCTCGCTGCCCACATGACAGTTCAAAGAGTGCATGGCTTTACCCCACATCACAGATGGCCTGAGGCCCTGGCCATGCAGCTCCTAGATGGCACAACTAGAGCTGGTTTTGAAACCTGGCTGCAGCATCTGTGTTCCTTCCGACTGCTCAGTGCCTCTTTTCCCATAAGAGGAGGAGCCCAGAGCCTTCTGCTCACCCTGCCATGTTCCCCCTTCAGGTGACTGGTGGTTCCGACAGCTTCCATCTCAGCACCTGGTATGTCTGGAACAGCCCCGGCCCTCAGCACGGATCACAAGGAGATTCACAGGACAACTTGGGACTTTCTATGTTTTTGAAAATAACTTTGATGTCTGAATACATTAAACTTTGCTCTGAAACCTGCCCTGCCTGGATGTGGTAGTACTGGAAATTTGGCAACCTTGGTCACTTGATGGCTGGGATGACCCAGGGGTCCTTTTGGCTCCAAAATTTTGCAAATCTAGGAATTTCCCAGTGGCTGGCAGAAATTGGTTATTTAAGGCATTTAATGGATAATACTTGCAAAGTGTATTTATCTATTGCTACCTTAGGAAATTACCCCATGACAAACATTATTTTCCATTTCTGTAGGCCAAGAATTTGGAAGTAACTTAGCTGGGTGGTCTTGGCTTGGGGTCTTTTCATGAGGCTGCAGTCAAATTGCTGGCTGGGGCTGCCTCATCTGAAGGCGAGACTGGGGCTGGAGGAGCCATTTCCAGTATGGCTTCCTCACATGACTGTTCACTTGAGGCCTCAGCTTCTCTCCACGTGGCCTGTCCACAGTGCTGTTTGAGTGTTCTCCCAGCATGGCTGCTGGCCTCCCCTATCCCCCAGCAAGTGATTCCAGAGAGAGCAGGCAGAAGCCACGTGTCTCTTACGATCTACCTTCAGAAGTCTCACTCCATCCCTCTGTTCTCACTGCACATTTCATTTGTTAGGACCACTTCCCTTAGTCCAGCCCACACTCAAGGAAAGGAGAATTAGACTCTGTGTTTTCAAAGGAGGAATATCAGAACTTCCAGATACGTTAAACCATCACATGAAGGATACAAAAACAAGCAAGTATATAAGGACATGGCACACAGTCTGTTCCCTCCCCAACGCCCCTACCCAGTTCTCGCCAACCCTTGTCAAGTTCTTGAAAATTCTAGAAACACTGTATGCAGATATAGCACATTATGAAAATAGCTATTATATTAGTCTGTGCGGGCTACCATAACAAAACACCACAGACTGGGTGGCTTAAAACAGAATTTAGGTATCTAAGATAGTGTCATTTTCCTCACGAGTTGTGGAGGCTGGAAGTCTGAGATCAAGGTTCTGGCAGGGTTGGTTTCTGGAAGGACCCAATTCCTGGCTTACAGACAGCTGCCTTCTCACTGTCCTCCCTTGCACAGCCTTTCCTTGATGCCTGGGCAGAGGGAAGAGAAAGCAAGTGGGCTCTCCCTTGTCTCTTAGAACAATACTAATCCCAGGGGACCCAGGCCCCACCCCTCTGATCTCGTTTAGTCTCATTACACCCTTAGAGGCTCCATCTCCAGGTACAGCCACACTGGGACTCAGAGCTTCAACATGAATTTCAGTGGGGGACACATTCAATTCTTAACGGTTCTATATTTTAAACACAAATGGTGGCATTTGATACACATCTTTCTGCCTATACTTTGTTCACCTAAGGCTTATTTCCTAGAGTCAAGGCCACTTAAGAAAACACAGCATCGTCAATTTTTAACAGCTGTCTGGTACCAATATTTATTAACTAGTCAGGAATATTCATTTCTTGTCTTTTGCCATTATAACATCTGTGATATTCTGTTAAATTTTTGTTAACAATATTTAATGTATGCAGGTCAGACAGAGCAGTGCTGAACCATATTGCAGCTTGAAGCAAAAGAAAATGTGCCCTGATTCCCATGATTTTATGTATTTTTGTAATAGTTAATGGTTTTCATAAAAACATCTGAGGAGTGACATCAGCATCACGGCAGAGCGAGAACACTCCTTTTCCCTCTCCTTAAAGTCAGACAACTGTAACTCTACAAGGGACCCTGCTTTACACACAGATATGCCTGAGAGACGGCGCCTGGGGACATCTGAAGGTGGTGCATCAGAATAAGAAGGGGAGGTGGGACAAGGAAGGGCAAAAATAAGATCCTCAAGATACAGGCCAGTGCCCACCATATCCCTGCTGATAAGGTAGCACTGGAAGAGTCAGGCTGCACCCCTCACATGGCAACCAGGGGACAGGAGGGACAGAAACTACACTCTGGCCTGAGTAGCCAGAGCCTAGTGAAGGTAAACCTGTGACAGGCAGAGAAGTAGCAGAGCGGTGTGGCAAGCTGTGGCCTAGGCGCCACAACTAGCAAGGAGGTAAAACAGAAGACGGGGGACCCTTCTCCCCTTGCTCACCCAAGCAGCAGATCCCAGTAGAGGCAGCAGGGGTGAGAGAAAACAAACTTGCTAGAGCGCCTCATATTGAAAAATAAAAGACCTGGACTTAGCAACCTACTGAATTGCTAAGAGCTAAACTATCCTAACAAGAGTTCACTGCCTCAGCCCTGACCGGTGTGGCTCAGTTGGCTGGGCATCATCCCACAAAGGGTCACTGTGGCCAGGATACATGACTGGGTTGTGGGTTTGGTCCCTGGTCAGGCTGTGTGCAAGAGGCAACCAATTGGTGTTTCCCTCTTTCTTCCTCCCTTCCCTTCTCTCTAAAATTAAATATATAAAACCTAAACAAGAGTTTACTGCCTCAAATCCACAGAGAGAGAATCCATCAGGTACCACGAATAACCGAGGATATCACACTCCCTGTCTCCAAACTATACTACAAAGTCACAGTAGTCAAACAGTACAGTATTGGCAGAAAAACAAAAGACACCAATGTTACAGAATTGAGAGTTCAGAAATATACTCACACATTGGGCAAGTAATTTTCGACAAAGCAGCCAAAAAACACAATGGAGAAAGGAGTCTCTTCAACAAATAGCATTGGGAAAACTGGAAAGCCACATGCGAAAGCATGAAACTAGACTGCTGACACCATACACAAAAATTAAAAGTGGCCCTGGCTAGTCTACCAAAAGTGGATCTACTAAAAGTGGATTGAGCACCGGCCTGTGAATCAAAGGGTAGCTGGTTTTATTCCCAGTTTGATTCCGATGCCTGGGTTGCAGGCCAGGTCCCCAGTTGGGGGCACTCAAGAGGTAACCACACATTATGTTTCTCTCCCTCTCTTTCTCCATCCCTTTCTCTAAAAATAAATATTTTAAAAAAGAAAAGTGGATTAAAGTCTTGAATGTAAGACCTGAAACAATAAAATACGTATTAGAAAACATAGGCACTAAACTATGGAACTTGATCCACAGTTACAAAATAGTCATGAGGATGTAAATAATACAAAAAGTATCCAGCCTCATAATATGAAAAAGTGGCATTTATTGAAGAGAAGATACCAAGATACAAGAAACATTTTACATAGGACAATGATGCCTCAGTCCCCTTCAGAGTAAGTACCTGGGGATCTCACACAGTTCTCCCAATTGCCATCAGCTGCCCTGTCCTATTTTCCTGAATCTCAATGATAGTCTGAAATCTCTTTCCTTTCAAAGGTGATTTTAGTTTTGGGAAAAGCCAGAAGTCGCAGGGGGCCAAATCTGGGCTGTTGGGGGAGCTGTCACCTGGGTGACTTGATGTTTCATCAAAAAACTGCACAAGACATGATGCATGAGTGGGCACATTGTTGTTATGAAGCTGCCAATCACCAGTTGCCCATAGCTGCGGCCTTCTGAATCATCTGAATAGTTTCCGCGGAGGAATGTTCAAGCTTAACGCAAAACTTTTTAAAATTTTATTTATTTTTAGAGAGGGAAGGAGAAGGGAAGGAGAAAAAGAGACGGACACATCAATGTGTGGTTGCCTCTTACACACCCCCTACTGGGGACCTGGCCTGCAACCTGGGCATGTGTCCTGACTGAGGATCAAACCGGCAACCCTTTGGTTCAGAGGCCAGCACTCAATCCGCTGAACCAAACCGAATTTGATGCATGTTCATTGCTCTACTTGCTCAGTCATTTTGAATGCGATGGCCACATAGTACACATGCTCGCTCAACAGCATCTTTCACTCCCTCTATTGCAATAATGTTATCATTATTTACACATGCACATCCCAGTCCACTCTCCTTGGCTGCCAGGTTACATTGATGTTGTGCAAACTGTTCTCATTATGTGAACAGTTCTGAGTAACCCTTCAGAACTAGGTGAACCAATGAGTGGAGAAGCATATGAGAAATATGTATCATCTATTGAGGAGTGAAAATGGAACCCCCTAAATAAAATAGCATGCAACAAGTTAACCTAGCATAGTTGTCTTAAATTAGTGGTGGGTATAAGATTTAAATTAGCAGCTTTTAGTAATACCAATGGAAAAAGAAACTACAACGCTATTGGAAGAAAATACCACTTAATTTTCTAATGACTGCAGATAAACACAATATGCACTTTTTTTTCATAACACTGTAATTTTTAGGTTAGGCTACAGTTAGGATATTCAGAATTCCTGGAATCATCTGTGGTAAAATCTAGTTATAAAAATTATGCAATTCAAGGATAACATTGTTATCTTAAGCCTTACATAATTTGTAACTTACATCTGTCTCTGGATTTCAGTCAAAATACTTGATGTTTCTATTGGAAATAACTGGCAGTGGAGAAAAGGTTTTGCTAGTTGTTAGTGTCAGATGACACACAATTCTATCTTAATTTGGCAATATACTGAGTTGCTGGTGCTATTTTTTCAATGAAGCAGTAGCCTTGCAGGAAAACAAGAAAGTTTAATAAAACATTCAACTTCTTCACTAATAAAAAATATTAAGAATGGAGCTACTATATGACCCAGCAATCCCTCTTCTGGTTATATATCCCCCAAAATTTGAAAACGTATTCATAAAGATATACATACATACCATATATTCATTGCAGCATTATTCTTCATGACGAAGAAATAGAAACAACCTAAGTGTCCCTTGATGGATGACTGGATTAAGAAAATGTGGTTCATATATACAACAGAATACTACTCAGCCATGAAAGAGATGAAATATTGTCATTTGCAACAACATAAATGGATCTTGATAGTGTCATGCTAACTGAAATAAGTCAGATGGAAAGAGACAAGGACTGTATGATTTTATTCATATGTGGAATATAAAACAAAATAAACTCATGGACACAAACAATGGTTTGGTGGTTACCAGAACGGAACAGGGTCAAGAAATGTCAAATAAGTAAAGGGGGTAAAATACAAAGTGATGGAAGGAGACTAGATTTTGGGTGATGAGTACACAATGGAGTAAACAGATGCCATATTATAAAGTTGTATAGCTGAAATTCGTATACTGTTGTTAACCAATATTACCTAAAGAAATTTAATTTTAAACAGATTTAGAGGGGGAGACATTTAAAAAAAAGAGAAAGAAAATATAGCTGCATTTGCTTCTGTGAAAGCCATAAAAGTGAAATTTTAATCAGTTCAGGTTTGGGGACAAATAATAGTATTTAATCTCAAACTACAATTGATTTTCAGTATCTTAATATTTTTCCAACCACTTTAATGTTTTGGGGAAAAGTTAACCATTAAAAAAAAGACACAAAAACACATATAAATGTGGAATGTGTGTCATTTTGCCTTGGTCTCCAAAATGGCTTGACATAGGACTGTTCATTTAACCCTCTATTCACATAAAATTTTGACATTTTGTTGAACTGCATGGTACCTGCGTTCAGCAGTTTATTCCTACTGGGTTTTCAAAGGACTGTGAGATAAATTCAGTATCTGGCATCGTTGGATTTCTTGGCTTTGTGCTTGTTGATACAGCATAAAAATTTTGATGGTTCACAATGAACTTTCGTGTTCATTTTAGATTCTTAAAATATTGTTTTAATGCCACTCATTTTGAAGACCAAGGTATATGGTGCTCCCGTAAACCTGGGCCCCAGGAGAGTGCCTTCCTAACCTCCTATGAGCTTGCAAGGACCTTGGCAGTGTCTGGGGACATCTGTGGTTGTCATAACTAGGAGATGCTCCTAGCATGAAGTAGGTGCAGGTTAAGGGATACTGCTCAATACCATATAGTACCCAAGACACCCACCCCACTCCTCAAAGAGAAAGGCTGGGTCCCAACGTACACAGCACCAAAAGGGAGATGCTGCCATAGACAGTCTTTTAAAGGCTCCTCATATAGCACCTCCCAATTTAATTTCTATTTTTTTCCCTTCCGGAGATGGGCAGGAAAGGGTGTCTGCCTGGGGACTAAGCCAGCCAGCCTGGGAAAGGGAGTTTATTTCAAAGGGGCAAAGGGGAGAGAAGTGGGCAGCACCATCCCTCTTTCCTGGGGCATGTCCACACTCCCAGTCAGGTCACTGGCAGCACACAGCTGGGCCAGCTGCTAGGAGTACAATCCCAAGAATCTGGTTTGGGCCAGATTCCCTAAGAAGCAAGTGCGGAGAAAGTGGGGGCACATATGGTGTATATTTGACAGTGGTTTTTGAGGTCAAAATCCTGGGACCCAACACCGCACACCCATTAGGATGGTTACTATCAAAAACAAAACAAAACCCAGAAAACAAGTGCTGGCAAGGATGTGGAGAACCCTCGTGCACTGGTGCACTGCTGGTGGGAGGGTGAAATGGGGCAGCCACTGGGGAAGACAGGATGGTGGTTCCTCAAAGAATTAAACATAGAATTACCGCCTGACTTAGCATTTTTATTTTTGGAATTCCTTTTTTGTGTATGCCCAAAAAATTGGAAGCAGGATGGGGGGAAGGTAACGGTGGGGACCCCTGACACAAGGTGGGGATGGCTAATACTTTTTCCTTTAAACGTTATTACATGGCTTCGCCGATTACAATTAATGTGTTTGTCTCTGTAATTATTTCTTCAATTAAGAAATGAAGTCATGTCCTGGCCGGTGTGGTTCCATTGGTTGGAGCATCATTCCATAACTAAAAGGTCATCATCAGTTCGATTCCTGGTCGCTGCACATGCCTAGGTTGTGGGTTCGATCCTCAGCACATGCAAGAGGCAACCAATGGATGTTTTTCTCTCCCTCCCTCTCTCCTCCGCTCCCTCCCTCTACCCCGCTTTCCCTCTCTTGAATGAGAATTTTAAAAACCTTAAAAAAAATAAAAGAAATAAAGTCATACATGCTGGAAACACACCTAGCTAGTTAAGACCCAATTAAGGCCCGGATCCTGGAGTCCTGGGTTTGGGTCTGAACTCTGCAGACAGGAACGGAAGGCTTCAAACTGGCTCTGTAATTCGGCGACTGCCTGGCCACTTTGCCCTGCTCACCTGAGTCTGTTGCTGTTTGTGCAGCTGCCCCTTGGGGAGCCCAGGAGAAAAAGGACATAAGAAATCTTGAGAAATTGCACTCACCTGAAGACTTATGACAAATGACACCTGCCTGCTGTGGGCTTGGGTTTCCTTGCCCAGGACCAGCCTCCAACCAGAGCCTGAGCCAAGGGATCCAGGGCTGAAAAGACACCTGCAGGGGATAAACAGGTGTGCGGACCACCCCTCTGCCTCCCAGGGTGGAGCCTGGGGCCTTACCACCGGCATTCCCCCATTTACCCAGAGAGCACACGTTTGGATAAGCGGCCAGGGGGTCCAGCCTGCCCTGGACCGGTACCGGCCACAACTGGCCACTCATGCAGCAGTCTTAAGTACCTGCCCTGGGGGAACAAGAAAGCCAGGGGGCAGCGCCACCTGGACCCTCTGGCTGGGGAGAAAAAGAGGTTATAGGGGGAGGGGCAAAAGGAGGGCGAGAGGACCTTAGGAAGGTCCTGGACTCCCACGCGAAAGATGATGGTTAGACTAAGGTGGAGACGGGGAGGAGATGTATTTCCGGATTCTGAGGTGTCAGAGAAGGGTCGGATGTGACCTGGGATATATAGGGGGGTGGTCAGCGGCAGCTGCCCCGGAGGTGGACGCCGGTTTAGAATTTGGACGCTGTGAGACAGGACAGCGGGGAGTGAAACACGGGTCCGACACTGGACAGGCACCTCGGATCCCAAGCGCGGACGTGGTGACAGCGCAGGAGGAAGACCCCCACGAGACAGGCAGAGACACTGCTGAAGGACGCAGGGGCGGAGCGCGCGAGCCTCGTGCCGCAGCAGGCCAAGCTCCCTGCCCGCGTGCTGATTGGCGAGGTTGTCGCGGGGCGGGACCTGTGCGGCGCCTGCGCAGCACGCGGCCCCGCGCGCGGGCGGGTGGGCGGAGCGGGCCCCCCGAGCGGGGGCTGGCGAGCGCGGGGAGGGGGCTGAGAGGGCGGCAAAGCCGGCGCGCGCCCGACTTGGGGTGGAGGGTGGGGGCCTGCGGGCCGGAACAGCCACGGTAAGTGGCGGCGGCGGCGGCGGAGGCAGCTGAGGCGGCGGCGGAGACCGGGGGTCCGGGCGGCGGCGGCGGCGACGGGCCGAGGAGCCGGGCGCGATGGAGCGGAAGAGGTGGGAGTGTCCGGCGCTCCCGCAGGGCTGGGAGAGGGAAGAAGTGCCCAGAAGGTCGGGGCTGTCGGCCGGCCACAGGGATGTCTTTTACTATAGGTGAATGAACGTGCCGGCCGGGCAGGGCCCCAACGAGCGCCTCCCAGCGGCCTCTGCGGCAGCCTGGGCACCCTACCTGGGCCGCGGCCTGGGCCCCGCGCGTACGTCGTGCGTGTGTGCGTACCGGCGCGCGGCGGGAGCCTGGCCCAGTGCGCGTGCGTGAGCGCGCGTGGCGGGCCTTCCCCCTGCGCCCCCGTCCGGGCAGTGCGCGTGCGCCCCTAGTGCGGACGCATGGCGTACGGGTCGGCTCCGGGTGGTCGAGTAGCGGCCTTTGGCGGCTGTGGCAAAGCTGCCGGCGGGCTGACGGGCCCCCGGCGCAAGCCAGACGCCGCTGGGAGGCAGGGGTGGGGGCTGGGCTAGGTTTTCTTCGGTGGGCAGGGAGGGCGTACCTAGGAATGCAGGCTCCGGGACTATTCCTAGGGTGACCGGGCCCCGGGGCTGCGTGTTTTTGAAGGGCCGCCCTTTTCCGTCTTTGAGCTTGTTCCGAGAGCGCCACCCCGGGTTGAGCGTGTGCCCTCCAAGTAGAGACGCGGGATGTGAGACTTTTGTGAACCCCGCACACAAAGAGCCTCGCCTCTGTTTTCGTTATTGGTAGTCTGAGGCTTTCAGAGTTACCCTCCCCCAAATTGGAAGGAGGGGCTGCCCTTGGCCCGGGAGAAGTGGCCAAATTGGCCCGAACCCCCCTCTGTGGAACAAAGAATTAGTGGGAGGCTCGCAGCCCAACCCCAGACAGTGGGCCACCTGCTCTTTGCTTTCTTCTCCTTTTTTTCCCCGACTGGTAGGAGACGCTTTTGTTTCTGAGTAAGCTTTGACGGTACTTACCCTTTGCGTCAGGTCCCTGGTGAAAGAGCTGGCAGGACACCTGCCTCATGTTGAATGCCAGCAGGTCCTGTGGGGTATGCAGCCGGGTCATGGGCCCGGAAGCTGGCAGGGTGAGGCCAAGAAGCAGCAGAATCGACGCTCCATCTTCCCAGTGCTTGGGCCCCTTGTGGCCCTTTGCTAGCCCAGTTTTGGGAGAAGGAGGGAAGCAAGCAGGAAAGGGATAGTGACTGGTCCAGGACAAGCTCGGGTTCTGGTTTCTGGTTTCCAAAAAGTGCAGGGCACCGATAGGGAGCCAAGCCGGGGGCCTCCAAATGTGTATGGGAATTGGCTAGACGCTAACTTATTCATTGACATAGTGGCACTGCAAGCAGCATTTTTCAGGGACACGTGCATACTCGTTCACTACCACCTACTGTGACATCACTCACAGGCTCTTGAGAAAATCTAAATCCTTTTAGTTCTGTCCTGGGTCTGTGGGGAGGCCTCAAGCTAGAAACTGCATTCCTCATATTAATTCCAGATATGCTTGTGTGCTTGCTTGCTTTTTGATCCAAGGGCTGAGGCAAGCCTCTCTGCCTCTAGTCCTTTTTTAATTTAACAAACATCTCTGCAGCATCTGCTGGATGCCTGGCATTGTTAGGTCCTGGCCATTCAGCTGGGAGTAAGACCCCAGCACCCCACTCCTGGGTGACAGCTGAGGCTACTTCTACTCACCCAGTTACCCCTGGGTTTCAGGTGGCAACATGTGCTTAGAAGTATAGGTATCTGTGAAGGTTGGTAGTAGGGGTGCCTGACCAGCTGGGGCAGTTCAGGGAGGGCCTCTCAGGAAGTCATATCGAGCTGAGCCCTAATGGGAGCCAGGAAGAGCAGTCCAGATAATAGGAACTGCAGGGGCCTGAGTAGAGTCCCCAGGAGGCAGAAAGCAGTTTGTAGCTTGGGATCTGAACCAAGGCCAGCGTGGCTGGAGCACCCTCTTCTCGCCACCTGCCTAGGAACCTGTCAGGACCTTAGCTGAGTGGGGTCCCGCTCTGAGGCTCCAGTCATGAGCATGGGAGTCTGGAGGTGGAGAAAAACTCCAAACTGGGGCTGGACAGATGAGACTTCAGATTTTCCCTGACTACACTGGAGAGGTGAGGGCCTGAGATGGGCTAGGAGGGGGTACAGTCTAGCTCCATTCCCGGCTCTCTGACCTGAGTAACCCACCAGGTGTCTTCCTTTCTTCTAGTGATGGGAGGTTTAGGGCGATGTGATGTGACACTATGGTGTTTTCCTGGAATGTGGGTTCCTGGCCTCCTCACCACCCTCTGGAGATACCTGCTATGAACCAGGCAACTGGGTAGGAGCAGAGAGAGTTTCCTTTCAGGTCTCAGGGCTGGTGCTCAATCCACTGAACCACACCAGGCAGGGCCACAGATCAATTTTCCTGATTCTCTTAATGCAGTGGGGAACTAAGAAGTCAGACAGACCTGGCCCTGGGTTCTAGCGCTGCCCCTAGGGACATGCAGGCCTCAAATTCTTGGTTTCCTCTTTCAGAAAGTGGGAGGGAGGAAGTATCTTCTTAGAAGAATTACATTGCAGGAGAGATGAAGTGACCCTATAGACCTTCCCCTCGGGACTCACCCACACATTCCTCCACCTTGGTGATTTGCCTGAGCTCACTCCCTGAGTGTGCTGAGACTGGGGGGTGGGGGATAGAGCATCTGGTGGCAACTGTGTTTTCTTTGTGAAAACAGCCTCGCTTCTTGACATTTTCTATGCAAGCAGGAAATTGAGGACTTGGGAGAAGTTAGTACCCTGGACTGAACAAATGATTCTTTGGGGTGTGTAGCATAGACAAGATTTTTCCAAAAGATCTCACTTTAAAAGTAGAAAGAGACTCAGGAAAGCAGGACAGCAGCCTTGTCTACAGATGAGAAGTGGAGGTGTAGGGAAGGACCAGGGCCAAGGCAAGTATCTGTCCTCTTGCATCTCTTTGGGCCCCCAGGCTCCACAACCAGCCGTGCTCCCCAGTAGGCCTGCCTGCAGAGAAGCCATGGTGCTCATTTGTTTTCTCATTCACTAAATATCAGGAAGGCCTTCCGTGCCAGTGCAGATCTGCAAGACCTCTTTGGAAAATTGCGATACAATTTCACATTCCATACAAGTCACCCTTTAAGAGTACCATTTGGCAGATTTTAGGACATTTCACAACATTGTACAACCATCACCACTGTAGTTCTAAAACATTCTCATCACCCCAAAACGAAACCCTGTGCCTATTAGCATTGCTTCCCATTCCCTCCCTTAGTTCCTGGCACTTTTTTTTTAACAGCTTTATTCAGATAAGGTGCACATACCACACAAGTCACCCATTTAAAGTGTACAATTGAGCGGGTTTTGGCATATTTACAGATACAGCTATCACCACAGTCAATTTTAGGCCATTTTCATCACCCCAAAAAGAACCCTAGACCCTTAACTATCAATGTCCTATGCCCACATCCCCTAGCCCTAAGCAACTGCTAATCTGGTTTGAGTCTTTATCGCTCCATTCTCATTAATTTTTTCTTTTTTTAAACTCTCACCTGAGGGTATGTTTTTGTTGATTTTAGAGAGAGAGGAAGGGAGAGAGAGAAACATTAATCTGTTGCTTCCTGTGTGCCTCAACTAGGGGTCAAACTCATAACCTAGATATGTACCCTGACCAGGAATCAAAGCTGGTCATACAACATTTCGGTACACAGGACGATGCTCCAACCAACTGAGCCACCTGCCTGCAAATTCTTGTTTTGGGGTTTTGTTTTTTTTTTAAGAATTTTTAAAAATTTTATTTTTAGAGAGGAAAGGAGGGAGAGAAACATCAATGTGTGGTTGCCTCTCACATGCCCCCTACTGGGGACCTGGCCTGCAGCCTGGGCATGTGCCCTGACTGAGAATTGAACTGGCAACCCTTTGGTTTGGAGGCCAGCACTCAATCCACTGAGCTACATCAGCCAGGGCTCATTTTTAAATACAGAATAGCAACCAGTAGGGGTGACTGGAGGCAAAGATGTTGGTGAGTGTTTTGCGGGGGTCCCTCCCCTCTTTGCCTTTCCTCTGCCCTGAGTGTTCACATCAGCCCAAACAGCACATAATAGAAAAGTGGACCTTCCAGAAGAGTCCTTAGTGGCCTCAGAACCTGGGGCAGTTGGGAGACTCGATGCTGGGGCACCCTGTCCTAGGGAATGTGGCCAGGCCAAGGGAAATATAGCACAGGTTCCTGCAATGACCTTTCCTGGTAAGAGGTGCCAGTGGGGCCAGCTCAGTGCGCCACTATAGAAGTGGGTTTCCTTTCTGGCTATGATAGGTCCCACCCTACCCTCCATTGTTTTTCATCTGTTATGTGCTGAGACATCTGTAACAAGACTGGAGGGGAAGGTATGCGCTTGTTGAAATTAGGGCCTTGACCCATAGGTTATCTGAAGCCCATCAGCAGTTGGCCTCCATAGTCCTCCCCAGGGCCTGGCACCCACAAATCCACTTTTTCTACTGATAGATTTGCCTGTTGGACATTTCACATAAATGACTTCACACACTATGTGGCCTTCTGTGTATGGCTCCTCTCAGGAGCATCATGTGTTCAAGGTCCATCCACATTGTAGCGAGTGTCAGTGCTTGCTTTTCATGGCTGAATGATATTCCAGTGTGTGGATGGGTCATGTTGTGTTTATCTGTTCATTAGCTGGTGGATATCTGGTTGTTTTC